ATCTAGAGAGTTCCGAATGTAAACATTTGAATGGAGAGAAAAACGTTGAGAAAATTAATTGGATTTACGTATTTATGTGGATTATTTTTTGGGATAAAAGGCATAAGCAATCTCAAGAAGGTTTGTTTTGATTATTTTTGTAGTTATTCCCAGTGCAAATCATTTTATATTCTTCAAAATCGTTTCAGAGCGGATCCGCTCCAATTTGCTACGTTGCAAGTATATGGGACATATTCTTACTGTGGTGAGGGCCTGTACCGAGACACAGTTAGATTATTCTAACTAGGGCGGGGCCACAATGGGGAATCAAAGATTTTTATAGAAATATATAGGAAAAATCTTTGAAAATCTTCTTCTCAAGAACTACTTGGCCAGAAAAGCTGAAACTTATGTGAAAGCATCCTGGTATAATGTAGATTCTGAATTGTTCAAATCATGACCCCCGGGGGATAGGTGGGGCCACAATGGGGAATCAAAGTTTTACATAGAAATATATAGGAAAAATCTTTGAAAATCATTCTTCTCAAGAACTACTGGGCCAGAAAAGCTGAAACTTATGTGGAAGCATCCTGGTATAGTGTAGATTCTAAATTGTTCAAATCATGACCCCCGGGGGAAGGGCGGGCCACAATGGGGAATCAAAGTTTTATAGAGAAATATTTAGGAAAAATCTTTGAAAATCTTCTTCTTAAGAACCACTTGGCCAGAAAAGCTGAAACTTATGTGGAAGCATCCTGGTATAATGTTGATTCTAAATTGTTCAAATCATGACCCCCGGGAGATAGGTGGGGCCACATTGGGGAATCAAAGTCTTATAAAGAAATGTATAGGAAAAATCTTTGAAAATCTTTCTTCTCAAGAACTACTGGGCCAGAAAAGCTGAAACTTATGTGGAAGCATCTTGGTATAGTGTAGATTCTAAATTGTTCAAATCATGACCCCCGGGGGATGGGTGGGGCCACAATGGGGAATCAAAGTTTTACATAGAAATATATAGGAAAGATCTTTTAAAATCTTCTTCTCAAGAACCACTAGGCCAGAAAAGCTGAAACTTATGTGGAAGCATCCTGGTATAGTGTAGATTCTAAATTGATCAAATCATGACCCCCGGGGGAAGGGCGGCGCCACAATGGGGAATCAAAGTTTATATAGAAATATTTAGGAAAAAATTTTGAAAATCTTCTTCTCAAGAACCACTGAGCCAGAGAAGCTGAAACTTATGTGAAAGCATCCTGGGGTAGAGTAGATTCTAAATTGTTCAAATCATGACCCCTGGGGGATTGGGCGGGACCACAATGGGGAATCAAACGTTTACATAGAAATATATAGAAAAAATCTTTTAAAATCTTCTTCTCAAGAACCACTAGGTCAAAAAAGCTGGGAAAGATTTGGAAGCATCCATGGGGTAGTTCAGATTCAAAAGTGTTCAAATCTGGGAACCACTAGGAAAGAAAACCTGAAACTTATGTGGAAGCATCCTTGAGTAGTGTTGATTCTAAATTGTTAAAATCATGACCCCAGGGGTAGGGCGGGGCCACAATGGGGAATCAAAGTTTTACATAAAAATATATAGGAAAAATCTTTTAAAATCTTCTCAAGAACCACTTAGCCAGAGAAGATGAAACTTATTGGAAGCATCCTGGGGTAGTTTAGATTCAAAATTGTTCAAATCATGACCCCCAGGGATTGGGCGGGGCCACAATGTCGGTTCAATGTTTTACATTGAAATATGTAGAAAAAAATCTGAAAATCAAAGCTGAAACTTATATGGAAGCATAGATTTCAAATGATTAGTGGGGTAGGGTGGGGTCACAATATGTATTACAAGGGGGAAATCTGGTAAAGAACAGAATGGCCAAAGCTTCTCAGGTGAGCGATGTGGCCCATGGGCCTCTTGTTAGTGTAAATTCTTGCTTCTGTTTCTGGAATTTGTAAGATTGGCTGAATTGACCAATCAGAAATTAGAATATATCTTTAATTGTGCTTAGATGTAAAAAAAACTCCCTTGTCATTCTTTAGAACAATCAGATAATGACTCGGGATTTTCCGTCAGCAAAAAAACCCCAGAATTTGAAATATTATAAATATGAAGTTATCTTTAAAGTGTAAGCTACACAATATATAAACTGTTATTTTATCCAACATGATACAACGAAATTGTTATCGTACGGTCTATCTGTAGTAGTTTTCACAGTTTTCCCAGAATGCACCACCATGGCGGCCGTGCATGCGTATTCAGGTATCACACCGGTAATTGACCAATCAAAATGAACTTAGTCAAATGTAGGTCCATACATATAAAATAATTTTTTCTTTCTTTTGATGGTTTTTTTAATTTTCTCTTTTGCTATTTTTACAACTTTGGTACCTGTGCCTAGTAAATTTAATGTACTTTGTAAATAAAAAGAGTTTTTTGACAGGAACTATTTTTTTCAGGACATAGGAGGCTACTTCCTGGGGTGCATCGGACCTGTTTATAAACATGCTGAAAACACGTGGATTTGAGGGTAACCCTGTTTGCAGATGGAAAAAGTCAGAAAATGCCGTGTGGGTACCCTGTTTTTTGGACTCGGCCAATGAGAGAGGTAATGTTTAACAATTTCTGCTAAGTTTTTTTTCATGAATAATTTTTCCTGATTTTTAAAGAATTTTTTTCCTATATAGAAACATATAGTGAAAATAATTACCGGTGTGATACCTTGAAGGAATTTGTAAATATCACTATTTCCTGTTTTCTGGAACTTTCTCCCTCTCTATCCTCTCAATATGGCTGCTGTGACTGAGAACACATGGTTTGAGGAACAAAAACGATTTTTATTACAGAATTCTCAAATATTACATAATACACAATGCCGCATCTTCAATCACAACAATACTGCATGTAAATACATACAAACAACAGTTTTAATGCCCGGGGCTGCGAGGAAAACAAGAGTATATATATGTACATAGACTTTCATACATTGTCAATACACAAAATTTCAACATTTTACAAAGAAATATGCACATTTCACACCTTTGTCATAATACACATTGCATAAAAATAGAGCACCTGTCATATGAGCCACAGCGAATAAATAACAATAGACAAAGATGTAAACTTTTGTACCCAAAACATTGCTTAGGACATGGTCCATACCCTGATTGTATATTTTAAGAAGTATACAGGTAAATCACAAAATACAACACACTTTTTTTTAACTTAACTTCTTTGATAACTATGATCTACATGTTTCTTAGATTTCTTTGGTAATTTTGGATCTGTGAGAGATTTACAATAATTTTTTTCTTTCCTATCATCATACAATTGAAACCTTTGTTTTTTGTAAAATTTTCTTCTACATTTGTACAAAATTGATCTTTCTCTCTGCCTAAAATAATTCTGTCTATTTTGTTGCTGTTTCAGAAGATGTGCTACTTTACTTCCCTTGACAACAGGTGCCCCTACAGCCTTACACAGTTCTACAGTGGAATTGCCACATCCCTTATTTAAAGTATGAATAACTCTGTGAATTCTTGGTTCAAAATTTCTACTGTAAGTTATACACTTAGAATTTGATCTGAGATATGCCCTATTTACAGATTCACATTTTTGAGTTGTAGTGTGAAATTTAATTCTAGATAAACTTTTTCGCCCTAATGTCAAATTGATACAGTCTCTTAGTATTTGTTCATCACTGTCAGACATTTTGATTTTAAAGTCCTTTGGCAACACCGATGAAGTCCAATGATTTCTTTTTAGACCACGACAAGCGAAAGAATGTCTCTGGCACGGTTTAGCACACTCACCTCGATAGCACGATATGATGGCATCAACAGCATAGGACAGAGCATTGGTAAGTTTTTGCATATCCCCACCAAAATACTTGTGAGCTTTTTCATATTCTGATCGACATCTGGTTTTTAGGTCCTGGGCGAATCGTTTCTTAGCTGATTCTCTGTCTGCTTTGGTACGGCCTGGAAACATCCGCTCACCGAAGGGGGCTTTGCTGGTTTCCTTCCTCTGGGACTCGAAGAAGTGCCTCAGGTCCTTCAGGTTTTCGATGTTTTTTCCCTGCTTTATGGATGCTCCCTGGGATGCCGCACTGTCTCCGTCTGTTGTTAGGTGTGATATGGTAAGAGGGTCTTCATCCTTGTTCAGTTCTTCTATACATTCAGCTGCCCACTGTTTTTCATTACCAATGTTTGTCTGTTGTGTAAGATTGGCGGTACATCCTGTGTGCCCGGGACAGGTAACTTGTTGGCCTTTTCCTCTCAAATATTCACCCTTCTTGCATAACTTATTTCCACAAAACACTGAAATAATTTTTTTCTCACTTGTAACATTTTCACACATAGTATAAGTCACTTGAGTACCTGCTTGGAATGGTGTTTTCCCAAGTGCACTAAATGTAGAGTTGTTGTATCTGGCATCCCCCTCTGCGCGAATTGATGAATTACCAGGAAGTCCACATTCAGAGTTTTTTTCTTTCAAAGATTTCCTTATATCAGTCATACTATCTCGGTTCACAGAACTGATTTTTTCCCCCACTTTATTTGCAGTGTCCTGCATTGAGCTTGCTGACGCTGGGTGGATATTGGCTGTCAGAAGCATTCCTCGCATCCCCTCGGTAGTAAGACTGGTACCCATACGCCCAAGGGACATGGCTACATTCAGCCGAGCAGCCCTCCTTCCTGGTCGGGTAGATGTTACTTCCTCGTATAACTTCTGATGGTGACTTTGGTAGCCACAGGTGGAGCACCGCAGCGAGGATATCCAGACAAGACCCCGCTTCTGCTCTCGAGAGTAGTCCCAGTCCAAAGAACCCTTACAGGTTGGTTGTTTTTCTTTGTGGTCTCTAAAAGCGAAATTCCACAGCTCAGATGTCTTCTTATTGTGTAAAAGTCTGTAAGTTTCACATTCTGGACTTCCTGGTACTTCATGAGTGTAACTGTCAATAGCTTGAACCTCACTTCCTCTTGGCCTCAAAATCATCATTCCACTGTCCTTTCCTTGTGAATCACAAATTTGCATGGTCTGGTCATTGTTAGTGAATGTCACCATCTGTGCAAACTTGTCATTGTTTAGTCTCACTGGTAAAGGCTTTTCTGCTCTTTTAATCCCATTTTTTTGACACTTGGATCCTTTGTTATGTGGTGTACTTCCTTTTTTGAACTGAAATTTGGACAGATATTTTAGTCTTTCTTTCCCCATATTATCTTATATTGAACAGCTACTCAGTAAATTGCAGTATGATTTTGTGAATATTTTTCACTTCAATATACTCACTTTAGGCCTTAGTTTTATTTATTTGTTTTAACCAGTTTTTGATCTTTTTAAGAGATCCCCCTTTTCTTTGAAGACAGCAGAAATGAACACAACCCCAGTCTGATAAAGAGACCATTATCTTAATCACCAGACACAAAGGAGCACAATGCCTGGTCAATCTCTGCAGAGTAATTAATGAGCTAAATTTTGATACCCAATTGACCAGATACAGATTCCATTATAATTCTAAAAATTGAATTTTTTCATAAAAGTTAAGATTTTTCTACCCTAAATTTCTCATTAATTAACAATTCAAAATTTTTATCCAATTAATCAAAATGAAACAAATGATAAAAAAAGAACAATTAGCTATTCCCCTATCTAATGATACCAATCTTGTATATATATCATGTTTTAGAGCAAAGTTATGATGATTTGAAACTCATCACTTGTAACTCATATTTCACCATGAAATTGGTCAGCAATCATGATAATCCCAAGGGGTATTAAATCCTCCATTTCTCCGGCTCTCTCAGCCCTATAACTGTCTGCTTCGGACATTTTGTTGATTACTAATTAGGGCACCTGCTGTGCTAATTAGAGAGCAATTGAAGATAATAAAGTTGTCTTCAAGGTATCACACCGGTAATTGACCAATCAAAATGAACTTAGTCAAATGTAGGTCCATACATATAAAATAATTTTTTCTTTCTTTTGATGGTTTTTTTAATTTTCTCTTTTGCTATTTTTACAACTTTGGTACCTGTGCCTAGTAAATTTAATGTACTTTGTAAATAAAAAGAGTTTTTTGACAGGAACTATTTTTTTCAGGACATAGGAGGCTACTTCCTGGGGTGCATCGGACCTGTTTATAAACATGCTGAAAACACGTGGATTTGAGGGTAACCCTGTTTGCAGATGGAAAAAGTCAGAAAATGCCGTGTGGGTACCCTGTTTTTTGGACTCGGCCAATGAGAGAGGTAATGTTTAACAATTTCTGCTAATTATTTTTTCATGAATAATTTTTCCTGATTTTTAAAGAATTTTTTTCCTATATAGAAACATATAGTGAAAATAATTACCGGTGTGATACCTTCAAGGAATTTGGACTAACGTAGTTGCTCGAGAGCGCTAGCAATTACCTATGTAGCCAAGTGCATGATTGTAGATCTCGTTCTTACATACTATCCGGTTTTTTGTATCTCAACCATAACCTTTTATTGTTTTACCATTGAACTTGATGACATAACACCAATCGAGAACTGTAACCGATAGATGCGATATGCCATGTGCTTTACTTTCTATGATATATAATCTACTTTGAGCCACAGGGCGACTCTACAGGTGTGTATTTTATGTTTAATTGTGTGTTTTCATATTATTTTATCTAAGAATAATCGTTAAAATCATCTGTAATCCTCTTGAATGATGTTATGTATGCACTGATCACAATTGTGTATTCCCGCCATTTCGGTAGCTTCTCTATTCAGTCGCTTGATGTTTATCAGTAGGAATACTTTTATTTAGTTGTACTGATACAATTATCCAGTTGTTTTATTGATTATATAATACGGTGGAATGAATTTTGATCACATTATTGAATTTATCTTGTCAGTTATAAACGTGGTTAGGTATTCCGGAAACTGCGTTTCCGTTCATACTTGAGTCTCCGGTTTAGGTTCTGTAATTATGTAGCGAATAGTGTTTCCTGTTACCATTGATTTCGCAAAGGCGAAATCCATAGTTATAATGATTAATTGCTTGATGTTTGACAAGATGGTAATATTTTCTTTATTAAATACTCAAATACAGTAGTTATTATGCATTCTAGTCATACATGTTTGTATGTTGAGCTGCTAAGTTAGGAAGGTTGTGAAATGGTGATTATAAGTATCCTTGTCGGCTTGTTATATAAACACATAATATGTTTATGAAAGGGGAACTATAGAAACCAATTGGGTTGTGTCCTATTTAAAATGTATTATAATGTTCACTATTTGTGTGTAGGTAACTTTGTGTATCTATAACAACACTATCCAGTTAATGATATAATGATCATTTTGAGTGTTGATATGTACTTACAGTATAGTTGCTGTTACCTTTTTACCATAGTTACTAAGGTGGGCACATGACCTAGACCTGTCCTAGCAATATTTTGTATTACTGATTACATTGTTATTATGTATCTTGGTGCATATAATGTGACATCAATGTAAGATATTTTTGAAAGTTACTTTGTTTAATAGTTCAATACATATAATTAGAATTTTCTTGTAATTTTACAGGCTGCCTTCTGTTTCACAATAAAAGTTGTGAATCCAATAACGACTTCGGCTTCACCTACGTAGCTTTTTTTACCTACCTCAGGTAGCTTTATTTAGCTATTTCAAGGTAAGTTTTCAAAAGTTTTCTATATATTGAAAAGAGACAAAAAGTCGCAATTAAACGATTATTGATATTTTTAATTGGGAGGCTTTAAATAAACAATTCAAAGCAGAGATAGTTCATACATTGCTGCGTTTGGACAATTTAGAGCAAAACATGTAATTCCATTGTTTGGTTATCTGACCATACTCCACAAGTAAGTTACTGATCCAGACCTTCACCACTAAAGGACTGAGACAGAGTGTCCCTCACAGCACACTACACTCCACAAGTAAGTTACTGATCCAGACCTACACCACTAAAGGACTGAGACAGAGTGTCCCTCACAGCACACTACACTCCACAAGTAAGTTACTGATCCAGGCCTACACCACTAAAGGACTGAGACAGAGTGTCCCTCACAGCACACTACACTCCACAAGTAAGTTACTGATCCAGACCTACACCACTAAAGGACTAAGACAGAGTGACCCTCACAGCACACTACACTCCACAAGTAAGTTACTGATCCAGACCTACACCACTAAAGGACTGAGACAGAGTGACCCTCACAGCACACTACACTCCACAAGTAAGTTACTGATCCAGGCCTACACCACTAAAGGACTGAGACAGAGTGACCCTCACAGCACACTACACTCCACAAGTAAGTTACTGATCCAGACCTACACCACTAAAGGACTGAGACAGAGTGACCCTCACAGCACACTACACTCCACAAGTAAGTTACTGATCCAGGCCTACACCACTAAAGGACTAAGACAGAGTGACCCTCACAGCACACTACACTCCACAAGTAAGTTACTGATCCAGGCCTACACCACTAAAGGACTGAGACAGAGTGTCCCTCACAGCACACTACACTCCACAAGTAAGTTACTGATCCAGACCTACACCACTAAAGGACTGAGACAGAGTGATCCTCACAGCACACTACACTCCACAAGTAAGTTACTGATCCAGACCTACACCACTAAAGGACTGAGACAGAGTGATCCTCACAGCACACTACACTCCACAAGTAAGTTACTGATCCAGACCTAACCACTAAAGCACTGAGACAGAGTGTCCGTCACAGCACACTACACTCCACAAGTAAGTTACTGATCCAGGCCTACACCACTAAAGGACTGAGACAGAGTGTCTCTCACAGCACACTACACTCCACAAGTAAGTTACTGATCCAGACCTACACCACTAAAGGACTAAGACAGAGTGTCCCTCACAGCACAATACACTCCACAAGTAAGTTACTGATCCAGGCCTACACCACTAAAGGACTACCCTCACAGCACAATACACTCCACAAGTAAGTTACTGATCCAGGCCTACACCACTAAAGGACTGAGACAGAGTGTCCCTCACAGCACACTACACTCCACAAGTAAGTTACTGATCCAGACCTACACCACTAAAGGACTAAGACAGAGTGTCCCTCACAGCACACTACACTCCACAAGTAAGTTACTGATCCAGACCTACACCACTAAAGGACTAAGACAGAGTGTCCCTCACAGCACAATACACTCCACAAGTAAGTTACTGATTCAGACCTACACCACTAAAGGACTGAGACAGAGTGATCCTCACAGCACACTACACTCCACAAGTAAGTTACTGATCCAGACCTTCACCACTAAAGGACTAAGACAGAGTGATCCTCACAGCACAATACACTCCACAAATAAGTTACTGATTCAGACCTACACCACTAAAGGACTGAGACAGAGTGATCCTCACAGCACACTACACTCCACAAGTAAGTTACTGATCCAGGCCTACACCACTAAAGGACTGAGACAGAGTGATCCTCACAGCATACTACACTCCACAAGTAAGTTACTGATCCAGGCCTACACCACTAAAGGACTAAGACAGAGTGTCCCTCACAGCACACTACACTCCACAAGTAAGTAACTGATTCAGACCTACACCACTAAAGGACTGAGACAGAGTGTCCCTCACAGTACACTACACTCCACAAGTAAGTTACTGATCCAGACCTACACCACTAAAAGACTGAGACAAAGTTTC